AGGTAATGGGGGTCAATGCGTGCACTTGTGATGAGCACAGGGTGATGTAGGGAATTGCTGAGTCACTATATCTGTACTCCTGAAACTCATATAACAATGTATGTTAATTAACTGGAATTAAAAACTTAAGCCAAAAAAAATTCACAGAAAAGTAAATCAAACTGAAAAACAGCAAGACACTTCTATAAAGCAGTTACTTGAATGGATGAATAAATCAGTGGCTTATATCTTAATACATTTTTAGTTATTATGGATCTTTTACCTTCTCTTAATATTCTTTTCCCAATGCAGTGGTGATAAAGCAGGAAGAGTCCTCAAGCTCTTTATTTTTTTTTAAATTTTTTAAATTTTATTATGTTATGTTAGTCACCATACAATACATCATTGGTTTTTGATGTAGTGATCCAGGATCCATTGTTTTCGTATAACACCCAGTGCTCCATGCAGTAGGTGCCCTCCTTAATACCCATCACTGGGCTAACCCATCCCCCCTCCCCCCTCCCCTCTAAAACCCTGTTTGTTTCTCAGAGTCCATAGTCTCTCATGGTTCATCTCTCCCTCCAGTGTCCCCCCCTTCATTTTTCCCTTCCTTTTCCTAATGTCCTCCATGCTATTCCTTATATTCCACAAATAAGTGAAACCATATGATAAGTGACTTTCTCTGCTTGACTTATTTCACATAGCATAATCTCCTCCAGTCCCATCCATGTTGATGTAAAAGTTGGGTATTCATCCTTTCTGATGGCTGAGTAATATTCCATGGTATATATGGACCAAACTGTTTCTATAATTTACTGATTCTAAGACTGGACCAACGTTTGCTCTTTTTTTCTGCTGTAGTATTAGGACTATTTCGTAACCACTGTATTTCTTCTTTATGTTTCTGGTCACAGAGGCCCTATACCATCCTTTACTCCTTCCTTCTTTCCCTCCTTCCCTTTTCCCATTTCTAAATTTCATGGAGGTCTGTTAATAGTGTTCACCTGCCCCCACCATTATCTTTTTAGTGTACTTCTACCGTAAGCTTTGTTTGTCAGCAGATCCTTATCCTGCTTTCTTCTTGGAGTATTTTAGTGTAGATAGCATGCTGGTTCCTTTTTATTTATTACTCATATTTGTTTTGGAGGAGTTCTTTTTGGAACTGTTAGTTTGGAACGGATAATTAGGGATAGTGGGTTTGTGTGTTGCTGGAAGTTGACTTTGGGTCTGTTTTCAAATTCTTTTTTAACAGCACTAACCTCTGGGGTTTTGATTCCACTTCTGACTAGCAGGACACCTGGCTCAGAGTGGAGGGCTTTCTGCTAGATTTTAGGGTGCATGGTGTAGCTCATATCTTTTCAGATCAAAATATGCTTTCTCTGTTTCCCGGAAACTTGGCCCAGTTTTTCCTGCACTTGGTAGCTCTTCTTTATAGATGATTTCGGTTTATGGGTATCTTCTAGCTTAGTCAAAGATGATGCTTCCTTTTTTGTTTCTCATTCGCCCTGTTACTTTTCATGAATTTCAAAGAGAAGAACAGAAGCTTTGCAGTAATAGTTTTTAACTTATCTTCTGCCTTTATTCTTGCTTTTTTCTTCTAATCTGCACAGCCTGCCTGGTCAGAAGCACCAATGAGAATGTATGACCTCACTGTTTCCAAAATTCACTTCATTTAGCTTAGAAGGTAAATTACCAGCACGTCAAAATGGCCCACCAGGCCCTGTATGAAACAACCCCTGCCTCTTCTGTCTCCAGTCCTAACTTACCACTCCTTTATGTTTTAGCAACACTGAGTTCCTTGTCTGCCTGATAACGTATTATGAAATTTCCTATCCACATTCCTTGTCGTATGCCTGGTGCTTCTGCCGGGCATTCTTCTCCTTTCTTACTTACCTAACAAGCTTCTGCTTTTCCTTCCAAGCCCAGTTCCCATGGTTCTTGCTTTCTGAAGTCTCTTTCACTCTTCTGGAACAGAATGGGTCTCTCTCTCATGCTCCCTCTTTATACATATTTTGATGATTACACTTTTTTTCACTATAATCATTACCTATTTTTCTCCTTCACCAGATTGAATTCCTTGAAATTGGTAGCTGTTCGTCTTTGTATCCGCATCATGAGGCACAGGGCCTGGTACCTAATAGGGTCTCAAATAATCATTATTATTTAGGTTTGAATCAACATAAATAGAAATATTTAAAACAGGAGAGAGATTTTAAAATCCAGGACTTTGTTTTTGTTATTTGCTGAATTTTAATGAAATGTAAATAAAAATTTTTTTTTTTTAAAAAACCCACAAAACAAAATGAAGCAAAATCAAGTGTAAATATTCTACAGACTGTCATAAAAGGCTGGTACTGAGGAAAGAGGCGAGAACTCTAAATCCTGGAGTTCTTTGAATGCTGGTCGTAATTTGCATTATGAGAACAATGCTATCCCCGAAATAAAGTGTAGATGGAAGAGAAGTAAACAGCCTGGAACAGAACCACAAGTCTTGCAGGTACAGTGGGAGGAATGAGCACTGAACTCTCCTGCATTCTTCAGTTGTCAGGTTGAGGAAGATTATCTGTTCCTGGGGTTCAACCTCTGTTTTAAAAATAACTATTTCTCTTGCTGATTTCATGAGTTTTCCTCTCTCCTGGGCTAAGTTCTGTAAAACTTTTTGTGCCCCTTTACAGCAATAATGGATGATGTGCATGTCTCAGTAGTATAATTTAGTGACTCGTTAGAGTGAAAGGTGAAATACTGAGTGAGGATTGAAATACTCCATATGTCTTAAAATTCCACAAATCCAGGCATGTGGGAAACATTCCGCACAGACACTCAACATGACTAATCCTTAGCAAACACTCTGAAATGGATAGTTCTTCCCCACTGCCTGGACGATTGCATCCTCTTGGGACTTTAACAAAGCCATCTGGAATTTTTCAGATTTAATATTAGTGCTTTGCTTTCACAAAAGGCACCAAAAGCCTTGCTTCGCAAGCCTTCTACCTGAGACATTTAGTTATCTGTTGGCATGGATTTTTCTTTGTTCCTAGAGCTCTGTGAGAAATTAATTGCCAACAATCCAAGATGTGTTTTTGCTTAACTCCCATCAGAAAACACCAGGGCTGAAGATGTTACCTTGTTGCTGACTTCTTTTTATGCCCTAGGCATCTTAAGAAATGATCTTATTTCAAATATATGTTTCTCATTAGACTCACCTTTCAATCCCATTCACTTCTATTCAGCACTCTCTCCCCCTTTCCTTTTCCTAACCACTAGGGCAGATTGTGGGCCTCTGTTCCTGGGTGTATTGGATGTCTTTTGGCTTTGGGAGTGCTTACATTATCCCTATCCTGGAGCTTGTCTCACTCCCTAGGCCCTTTCCTCATGGCTGGCCTAGGAGCTTGGCAAACCTGTCTTGTGTGCGGTTTGAAGGTAACATGATGATTTTTTTGAGGCGCTCCAAAATGCGTTTGAGTCTAAACACCAGTGTGGTGGTGCTGACGTTAATTCAATTCAACAAATGTTAATCAGAGGCCCATTCTGTACTACGTAAGAAATGGTCCTAGTTTTCTATTTGTTCACAGCCCAGTGGGGAGGATGGGTGTGTGATAGTATGAAACAGGGGAATCCCAAAGAGAGTCCAGATCTGCCCCACTTGGGGAGGCTAAGTGGCACTTCTCAGGCAGCCAACACCGCAGGGATGACTTAGCCTGGGGCAGGTTCCCTCTCAGGGCTCCCTGTGCCCGTCACCCAGATGCCAGTTTTCCCCCTACCAAATCTGGGGGTCCTCTGTTGTTTTCACATGCAAAAGTTCACTTGAAGAGACTGGTAAGGTTGAAATGATTTGACAATTTGCCACTAAGGAAAGTTCAAGGCTTTCCCATGACTGCTGTGTCCTTATACTTTACTGATAAGTCACATAATGGACAAAATATCACTGATCAGTAGATAAAGTAAAGCATTCTCAAGCATTCCGAAGTAGCTAAAATCTTCCTTCAACTGCTGTGCATCCATGGAATCATTCTTGCCCCAACACTAGTTATATTAATGGGCATATTACTAAACTCTGGCATTTCCCTTTGTCATCCTCTTGCTATGGTCCCCAGCAGGCTGATCATTTAGAACAGAAGTTGCCTCCTGGCTGGTTTCTTGCCTTTCCCTTCAAAATTCTATCACCTGTTAGTACAGAATTATACGTCTCACTTTATCCCAAGGAAAGAATGAGCTGGTAGAGTCAAGACTGTATCTTTCAAGCTTGAGGGGAATTCATCCTCAAGGTTGTATCTGTATTGCTCAGAGTAACTCAATTAGTGGTCAGCTGAGGGAGAAAGAAAGGTTTTTTATTGTGAAAATTGATTGATATTGATATGATGCTTCATCGGTGTCTTCCTAACATAGTTGGAGCTGAGCCCCAAATGGTGTGCAAAAGTCATCGATTTATAAAAGTTCTGTGGGACTCCAGTGGTTGCACTCTTGCCTCATTATGGTTTAGAGCTATGAGGCCAGCACACAGAGGGTCTATGTCGTGCTCACTTAAACCTTAAATTCCACAAAGAGTGAAAACAAAAAACAATAATGATAAGGGTACATATCATTTATTTTACTTCTGTCTCATTTTTTACTGTCCAAGTAGATTTCTTTTTACTTACACTCAATCTAGTGTTTATTTACATTTTCTGGAGGCCTGGCCTTTGGTGACATCACAGGATTCCATCCATTACCACATTTCTATGACTTCTATTTGTGTGTCATAAATCCAGAATTAATTAAGTTTGTTACAGTCCCGTGACACGGTGCAGTGGACTGAAATTTTATTAACCCCAACCACCCAACCAATCCAGGTAAGCTTTGGGAGTGATCGATTAGAATATACCATGCGACCAACAAATTAATTACACTCTCTACTATATTGACTTTCTATTTAATTGAATTTGGGGGGTACTATTTCTAGGAGATTATCCTTGATCATTATTGCATTTATAATTATCAGTATCATTTACAAAACATTTATCATGCTTATTATCTCGTTTTAGGTCACCAGTTTCTTCAGAAGATCACGGTAAGAATCTGTCTTACTTATACTAATTCAAGATTGAAAGTTGAGCTCCATTCCTTGCATTTCACTGTCAGAGGAAAGAATTATTCAAGGAAATGTTTCTAAGACATTGGCCTTGTATTTTTTTGTGTGTGAAATGTCATGCGCTTTTAAAAAATCAATGAATCCTAGCTAAATATGGTATCTTGTAGTATCTTCAAATCTATTATAACCATTTTGGTTGACAGATATTTTGAAGCTTAATATATCTACCTGATTTCTGTCCCATCACTGGATACGTTTTGTGACTTGGGGCTAGCCATGTAACTTCTCTGGATGATCATAGATTTTCACCTTTAAAATGAGAGTTTGTAGTAGATACTCTCAAAAGTCCCTTCAAGATTGGATGTTGAAATTTGCCAAAAGTATTAGAAGACTGAAATGAACCTGGTCAGTAGTGGTATGAATTGTTACCCAGCTGAGGTGAGTTATTCACAGTTAAGACACAATTATTTCATTCAAAGGATAAAATGAATAGTTTTGTCACATCTAACTTTGGGAGTTCATTTATTCAGTCACTCATCCAAAATGTTCACTAAGTGTCTACAGTGGGTCCGTGATACTTGTAATCATGTTATACAAATACGCTTTGGGGGCCATTTGCAGAGACAATGTGGTATATGACAGAATTTCCCCCCTCAAAGAGCTTTATATGTCTAGTGGTGAAGGGGGTGGTTGAATGACACATACCTCCTGCAATATAAAGTGAAATGTGATTAATCTTATAAAAGAGAGATACACCAGGACTCTGAGTACTACTGGCATTCCTCTTCATGCTGTCCCTAAATAGTGAAGGGCACCATTATGCATTCAGCCAGCTAAGTATAACACAGGAAAGCTGCTGTAAGCTTCCCTCTTCGTCCCCTCATTCTAGTTGGTCACTAAATTTTATTAACTCTGGTTTTTATATATCTTTTATCTCTAGTCTCTTTTCCACCCCCATTGTTGTAGCTTAGGACCTCTCCATGTTTTACTTGGATTTTAAAATTGTTTTAAAACTGGTGTCCATACCCTAGTTTTCTATCCTCTAGTTCACTGTACACTTGGATAACACCACACTGTTCTACAGCAAAAATCTACTCCCATTGCCTATGGGCTGAAATCTTATCAATAGACCAATCATTGTATTCAGATTTCCAATATTGTATTTTAATGTGGAATGGAAATCCTAAATGATGGAATCTTTGTTTACTTCTACTGCTTATTGCTTCTTTTGGCATCTTTTCCCCCTTCTCCTACCCATGCTGAATCCTCTAGCCATGTGGTATTGCATCTAGTTTCTGGAACTCACCATGTGTTCATGTTTCCTGCTTTTATCCGTGCTGTTCTTTGTGACAGGAAGCTACTCCTTTTGCGATACACATGGTTTACACTTACCATTTGAGACCTTGTTAATCATCTCATCCTCTCTAAGAGCTTTCTGACCCACTTACCATTTGCATGAAATAGTTTTCTTCTAGAATTTAACACATAAATTTGATGCTTGATTCACCTGTCTCCCCTGTGAGTTCTTTGATACAGGTCCCAACAAATAGCAAACATTCAACAAATGCTTGTTAAGTGAGTGAGTTAAGGGCAAAGAGAGGGAGTTTTAGGCAGGCACATTCTGCCATATCATAAAATCTCTCATAATACTGACATGAAGATGTATCACATTCTCTGAAGATCATGGGGCAAATCATGTGTAGACCTATTAAGTCAGAATTAGGTAACCAACAACCTAATGATGATCTATTATGGCATGCTCTTTTGCTCATCGGTGTTGGTACGACTAGGTTTTTTATTGCATGTTTAGAGATCCTTGGGCTTCCAAGTTCCATTGATTCAAAACTTGTGTTTTGTTTTTATTTTGATCTATGGTTCCCCTAAAGACTTTTGTTTGCTTTGGCCTTCCAATCTATTAGAACTTAACCCCTATGCCCAAACAAGGGGTGGGTCGGGGGGTACTTCTGAACTGTTATTCTCTAGTTTGCTAGGAACTCTTAAGGGATTATGAGCTATTGGTGAGTAGGTGGTAGCATCATTGGAAGTCCTTGAAAAATGCCTATCACCAGAAAGACTTGCTCGGTATGAATAGCCTGTCCAAATTAATTATTTTAAGAACTAGTATATATGATTAGTTAAAGAAACATTATCCAAATTTGAGGGCTTTTATATTTTCATGGCTTCAGAAGTTATTACATGTCCATGCGTCTAGGTTTGATTCTGCAAATTCCAAAAATTACTCAAATATGTAATGTGAAATTTCAGTGCTGACTTGTCTAATCTTATTAATTTCCCATCAGCTTCTAGCCCACGTATCCTTGTAAAATATTCTTATCCTTTTCTTTTACCACCAAGATTTTCTACTAGCACTTAAAATATGTTTTCTCATGCTTATACATTTTTAATTGTTCATGTTTTTGTGATTCTCGTTAAACCTCCTGAATATTCTATCAAGCTTACATCTGTAAGCGATAATGATATTACAGTATGTGTGCTTTTAAGAATGGTAAGAAGTAACATTTTTGCTTTCTCAAATTTGGCAATAGAAAAACTGAGGCTCATTGGGCAAAGGGATTGTGAAATTGGGATATAAAGCCCCATGCCTCTTGACTTTCTGTTTTGTTAGCTTACTACCAATGATCTTACTTTTCTCTCTAATAACGGTTGCTCTGGCTACCTTCAAAACAGACTTTGTTCTTGAGAAAATCTAATTTTCTGAAGTCCAATATGCCCAGCATTTTCAGTTCCCACAGATTACCTTTCACAGAAAATAGGCTTGAATGTCATGGCTCTGTCATTTACCCTCTCTTAGACCACTTACTTATCCGTAAGGTGGAGCTCATCATACCTACCCTGCCTACCTCATGGGATTATGAGTTCAAGTGGGAGATCATCTGTGCAATATCTTTCCAGTTTGCTAAAAGCACCCCAAACGCAATGCTATTATTGTCCAGGCAGTGGATGAGGAGATGTGAGTTGATTAGTGATGTTTGCTCAGCATTGCCTACTGTCTTTGAAAAGTTAAAAGGTGTACTGGGGATGGAGGAGGGGTAGAAAACTGTTGGCTTCTATGTTATCATTAAATATTGTGTTTTCATTGGAAACCTTCTTATATCTGGATGAGGAGGAGTAAGATGGTTAATACACAGTGCAGCTTGAAGTGACAAAGTGAAGATACAGTTCATGATTAGATGCAGGGTCCTATAGAAAACTGACCATATAAGGCATAAATGAAATGTAAAATGTTCCTATTTGTATAATACAGTATCAGAGTCATTGAGAATAAAGGCCAAAATTTATCGAGCACTTTTTTTATGCAGAGACACTGTGCTAAAGTACTTCAACTGTTACTTCATTTCATCTTGAACAAATAGTACACAGTAGATGTGTTAAACAGGCTCGTGGTACTTAAATAAATAACTTCCTTAAGATCACACTAGTAAGTGGTAGAGTTAATTTTCAAACCCAGATCTAATACCCACCTCTTGCTCATTTATGTACCAGGTCTCTGGAAACCAAAAGGAATGATTGTCAGCATTAAGGTGAAGTGATAGAATTATAGAGGAAAAAAAAAATTCCCTCTAGCAAGAGTTTATTTACTACCATGTAAGTAATCTCTTTTTAATGACAAAACAAAACAGAACAAAAATAACAAACTGTCTCTCCTGCTGGGAATGATTTGTCCCTGTAGAAAAAGTAAATACCAATGTCACATTCTCTCATAATTAGTTAACTGAGTGAAACCGAAGCTTCAGGGAAACCTGCCACACCAAATCCCAGTGGAAACATTACGTTTTAATGTTACAGCTGCAAGCTGGAGTCCTACCCCTTGTCAGAAGATAAGCCTGGCAGTGACTGATTGCCCTGCCCTAGGAGTTTCCTCAGCATTTAGTGCCTATCACCTCATCTTTTAAATGGCCCCAGGAGCCATTCCCGTGCCCAGGCTGCTTTGCCTGAGCTCTCAGATTCTGTTCTGTCATCTTAGCCTGCTTATCTGGGGGCCTCTGAGAATGTCTCTCTGCCACCTGCCACCTATGGCCCTGCACTGGAAGATTATCTTCCAGCTAATGTCTGCTCACTTCCCAAATACAGGACAGTCACTGACTCTTGCCCGGCAGTGCCAACCATCTGTTTGCTTCCCCTGGCAGTCTGAAGCAGGCATCCCCTTCCTGTCCTCGCTCCTAGACCTGTTGGTAATAACGGCTCTCACATTATATGGTAGCTTTTTTGTTGCAACAGTAACACAGTGGACAAGGGTGGGAGTAGCAGGTGTATCGGGAATAAAATTTTAACGACCACGATCACTAGCATAAGTGCCCAAAGAGGAGTCTCCTACCGGACTTGGAGGCAGTTTTACTTTGCAGTAGTTGTGCAAAAAAACAAAAACAAAAACAAAATAAAACCCCCAAACGACACATTGTGCGGTGGCCTAAAGCTCTCTAATATATCAATAACTATTTCTTGGCTCAAAATCATAGACTGATTTTTTTCTACAATATAAACATATCTATATATATGCATGCAATTTTACTGACGTAGATAATATTCATAAAAATGTACAGAACATTTACCAGCTCAGTTTAAATGATAACCAAAAGGAACTATTGCTTGCCCAGCCCCCAACCTAAGAAATAAAACATTTGTAGTCCTCTAGAAGCTTCACGTTTCCTTTTCTGTTTACATTCCCCTCCCTCTCCTGCAGAGATACCTCTATTCTGCTTCTTTGCTAAGAATTTCCTTGTTTCTTTTGAATATACATATATTCCACATATGAATGTGTGTGTATATATATTCCAGATATGTGTGTGTGTGTGTGTGTGTGTATAGATTGGCTTATATTGAACTTTCATAAATTGAATCCTGTTGTAAATTCTGTGATTTGCTTCTTTTGTTCAAAAGGTTTTTCTGATGCATCCTTGTTGAGTGCCATATTTATTTCATTAATTTTTCATGTTGTATAGTATTCTATTGTATGAATA